AGACGGTAGATGATCCTACTCTTTCTGTGTCCTTATTCGAACTTACACATGTGCCTATACTTGCACTGCTGACCTTGAATAAGTTTCACCCCTGTGGCCCTCATGTTGATCAACTGAAGACTTGTAGACGATGTTGTGTTCTGAAGATCGTCACTGAGTCTATAAGCGTACTGGTTAAATTCTGAATGTTTGCTTTGTTCAAAGATTGACTTGTCGGCTTGGGAAGTTAATCGGGTAGAAGCCATGGACATATCCGACGACCTAACAATCAGGGATGTAGGAACCGTTACTTTTAATTTTTTACACATTCTCTTCTCCTTTTCGCTCTGATGCTGCAGTATAAGGAGCCCCTGTTTGTTCATAATTTACTCGTGGCTTCTTTGCTTTCAATGAAGAAGGTATTCTTAACGTTGGTTTGATGCTTGGGATCATCTCTTCCATTCTTAGTAATTCTGTGATGACTGCGCAATTTGGCCAGTTTCTAAAAGACCGTGACGTTCTGAACTACTGCAATAGACGGTAGATGATCCTACTCTTTCTGTGTCCTTATTCGAACTTACACATGTGCCTATACTTGCACTGCTGACCTTGAATAAGTTTCACCCCTGTGGCCCTCATGTTGATCAACTGAAGACTTGTAGACGATGTTGTGTTCTGAAGATCGTCACTGAGTCTATAAGCGTACTGGTTAAATTCTGAATGTTTGCTTTGTTCAAAGATTGACTTGTCGGCTTGGGAAGTTAATCGGGTAGAAGCCATGGACATATCCGACGACCTTTACATACATACATACATACATACATACATACATACATACATACATACATACATACATACATACATACATACATACATACATACATACATACATACATACATACATTCATACATAACTCGGCTTTTCCTTCAGTTCAGCCAACCGAATGCACTCATCTGCGAGTTTCTGAAAACAAGGAAACGCTTGGAATTAAATCCTTTCTCCAGTTCATGCGTCCAAGTGTACGCAGATGACGATAGTCGAAGAAAGCAGCATTTGTATTCATGAAATTTGTAAATAATGAATGTACTATATGTACATAATAAACACATAATATGTCCGTGTATACAAAATATATGGTGGGGAAAATAAACTGCCTTTGTTCAGCCCGCTGGAACTATATGTTTTTGAGTTTGCATTCTCACGAGTACACAGGCATAGCAATGATGTGGCTCGTTAAATGTGGGTTGTCATACGCGTTCCACTTTCCAGCTGAAATCTGATATGTAAAGACTTGCGTCTCTGTGCCACTCAGTTTGCATGAACCTGCGCGTCGATCCACGCAAACAGTTACTCGATGTATATCCTGCAAAGATTGTTCGCGAAGCAATTGGGTGAACAAATCACTGATAAAATATATCGGCCGTTTGTTTACCTACGTGGACTAATGACGCGAGACTTGGTACTAGCTAACGGGTCCAGCACCTTCGTTAAACATAACCACGTAGGATTCAAATGACGTGAATCGCCTGTGTTACGGCTACCTAAAGCCAACAGATCATTGACAGCAACTCGTTTTTGCAATTTGATGGTGCCATTTACACCATTCGATTTTCGAGAACACGTTGGTGTGAATCTGATGCGATCAATCATCAGGAGATACTGCGGGAAGTGGTGCATAAAGGCTCGTTTTCGTCAGAAAAAAATGCCACCGTTATTCTGTGAATGCCACTGAACTAAGTGCACACAGGAATGTACAAAAACACCAAGGAGAAACAGACAGTGTTGCTCGGTAGGCAGTACAAGTTTAGCTGCCGTTTGTACGTTCAAACGGATGTTTCAGATGCTCTCTTGTTTAGTCGAATGTCAGTCACTAAAGTCAATGCTTCTCATAAACGTCAAACGGTAGAGCTACTTATAATACCATGCCACAAATGCGATGCAGTTATACCATACAACAAAAGGTATATATATATATGTATATATATATGATGTTGTCTAGGCTTGAGCAATCTGGCAGTATCCCAGCCTTCGTGCTTCCTTCAGGTGGCATGGCAGCTAGGCGCCGAAAGGGTGTTACAGCTGAACGATTTTTTATATACAGTAGGCCGATAGTGATGTTTAAAGGTCAGTGCACTAACAAATATTAGCCCCTTGACGCTTTATCTGGAACTATTCGAATATATATAAGTATGTGTTAGAACCATACAGTTGAAGTTGACTAAATTATCTTCCAGTTGTCCCAATAATGATCTTGGGGTGGTATGATCATACGACTATTTTATCATTTGATTAAGGCTAGTTCGAGTCTGTTGTACAGTGACGCTGCTAACCAGTATGTGAAGATACGCACGCACCCACACTGATTGAATAACCTGACCGTGGTTATACTTGAATGCTTACCGTCTTTGCTTTACACATGCGGATGGGCATCCTAAAACGTGAAAATAGATCAATTACGTATTTATGTACAGAAGCTCTGATATATTTCTTGGCTTCACGACCCCACCTGATCCGACAGACACGCGTTTTCCGGTCTCGTTATGCTTAGGTAGTCCACCTGGTAACTCACAGCTGAAGAATGAAGAATTTTTGTTCGTGTTAAGGTAATGTATTTCGATCAGTGTGACTGCACTGTTATGTATCGTTTGAGTTTTTGTTCCTATATCTTCTCTCTTCACACTGCGAGTAAGATGGCAGTGCCCAAAGTAGCTTGGTTGTTTAATATACCCCCAAAACCATTGGTCCTATTTCTGAATTTATTCCAACGATTAGACAAATGTAGTTTTTCTGACCAAATTTGGGGCTTAAGTTTAGCTGACCTTCATAACAGCTGCTAAATTTTGCAGGAGCACTGGTCGCACAAATTCAAACAGGTCAACAAAGAACGAAAAATTGACTGGTTATACCGTGACATTTGACTTTTCTTGAGGGAACATTACTCACAGGGTCACTGGAAACCCTTCGACAGCCCGTGACGTGTCTTACCCTTTTTCTGACTCATCAAGTAGGCCGAGCTTCCGTCAACCTTATATTATATTTGAAGCCAAGTCATACCTTATTCACGAAATGCCATTATTTGCAGACTAATTTGGTTTTGACGGGGGACTCAGCCGAATAGCAGCTGAATCCCTTGTTCATGATATTCCCCAACTAAATGTGCTGCAAAAAGCCACCTCGTGTTTTAGATGTCAAGATGTTTGAGACGTTGTACCACATTTTCCCGAATTAACGCTACTCACAAGGCCTCTGAAAACACTTCGACAACGCACGACCGGTTATTATATGAAAGTCAATGAGGCTGCTCCACTTATGGAAGATTGCGACTCACTCAGTAATCTACTAGGCAATTGGATTCAATCAAAATCTATTGTGGGGAGCAGGGTGATAGGAATAGATTATCCCCATTTATCAAGAAATCTTCCAAATTTTAATGTGAACATACATGTTATCCAAAATTTCGAGGTTCTCATAGTAGACTGAGAGAAGTTGTCCCGTTTAATTGAAGGTTGAAGCCTACTGGAGAGAAAAATGAGGTACCATTATGCCACTATACCATTAACATCCAAATGTCTGTGGGGCGCATCCTAGTCTCCCTTTATCTAGAACCCATACTATGGTGCTGTTTCACTGCTTCTATACTACATCTGCTTAGCAGTTCAATCCTTTAAAAAATCCACTTTGAATATAGAGGTAATTCCAGACGCCAATAAAATTGTTCACGTGGTACAAGTGGCTTTCATTTTAAAGAGCCCTTTTAAATGGTTCCAAGATAGACTGGAATGGGCTTTGCAGTTGGCTTAAGGCAAAATGGCTAAACAGCACAAAAACACGGATATTTGTTGGTACAATGGATATAGTGAGGTTACTGTGACGGTTCGGGATAACACGCACACAAAGGTTGCGGTGATTTAAAAACGCAGTAGTGACCGTCAAAAAGCAGAATTGCAGATTTTTTCGGTTTAACTTCTCTGAGTGGTCTAATGATCTTATGCGAACTACTCTCATAATTTTCTCTTTGTTCTGTCGTAAGGTCTGGGACAGTGAGAGTCGTGGATTCCACGACAGATGAACATATTCTGGTGAGATTATTCCGACAAAATGTCACCGATAACGATTGATTGCAGCTTTCGGACTCCCTTCACTCCAACGGCCCGGTTGTGTGCTTTATATTCTACACTTCCATGCTGCTGTTACATTAGCTCATGACTCGAACTGCTGAACTCCTGGGTGCGGAGAAGTCCCTAGAGAATAAGCCCAGGTTCCGGATATTCGTAAGTGGGAAATTCCAATCAGACATGCATTCGTCGCGCCTCATTCCACATGCCGGTTTCGGTGACTCATCAAAGCAGGCAACAAGGTCAGGCAAGCAGGTCGATCGATGCACCCGTCTCTGTAGTTTTTCCATTAGGACGAGGAACATAGTATAGGGTTGGTGGTGCAAGCGTCTGTCTATGGGCGAACAGGCGGCAAGCAAGCCCTGGATGTTAATCAACCATCCTTACATTAGTCTAGGTGCTTTCACAGGCGGTCTTTCAAGACTTATGAGATATGAATGCTAAGCTGTTTCGCGCAACGCACAAAACTCGCAACAGATTGAGTGAAACTTCGGTATAAAGTTTCACAGTTGAATTTGAGTCACGAGGACTTAAGTAACTGACTCCACAGACTAAGCATAATGCACGCGAGAACAGCATTGGAAATTTAGCGTAGAACCCTATGATGTGCACCGAAGCAAGCTGATACGCTACCGTTAGATGAGGGCATGGGGTTGACAACCGACAGGGCGAAACGCGCTCAGTTGAGCACGCGTCGCTCTCCCTCGAACGCGGTCTACCGAGGCCAGTGGTGCACACGATCGCTCACACTCCGAGGTCACTCGCGTACGACGCCGTCTGGACTGCACCGACAGCCTATCACACAAATGCATCCATTGTCCGCCACCAATTCCACGTATCACGGAATGGCGTTTAAGCCTATTTCGATTGGTCATCACGTGAACATGTCTGGTTCACCCAATCAGCTGTCTGGCCCAGCAAGGCTCGCAAGTTCAGCGCAAGGCGATAGCGTGGCCATCTGCTACGCCCCACTTGACAAGTTCTACGCCGGCGACCATGTGCAAAGCTGTTTCGGGTACGGTTATTGTGCTGATCAACATCCCCTTCGTAGTAAGTCTGATCATTATTCTGTGTTTCGAATATTTTGGTATTATGCTGTGACCTGCTAACTGTTCGAATTCTTAAGTTGTTAGGCTGTATGTGGTTAATGGTGAAATATCAGTGCTGTAACACCAAGCTTTCCGATAAAATACACAAGGGAACTTATTGTTTGATAACCGGTCAAACCAGGGGTCCCGTGCTGCTGCACGTTACTTATTGGCTTCTTGTAATGTGACGAATTGTTTGAGTAGCACGGATGGAGGAAGGACAAACGATTTTGGTCCTGTTTTCATTCAAACTGAAAAGTCTCTACCTTGGGCCGAATTCAGGTCGTTCTGGAAACACTTCATTACTGTCAACCTGCAATTAACTTTCATGAGGGCAGTCCATTTCTGCGGAGCTATCCGCATTGAAACAGAAATGATTTATGGACTAAAAACGAGCGAGTAGTGAGTTAGCACATCGCATTCACCATAATAATAATAATAGTAATAATAATAATAATGATAATAGAGACTGTGCAGACCCTGTTTTAGCTCCGCCACACGTCGCGCTTTTAAGTATTCTCAGTAGAATGGACCAAAGACTGAATAGTTCAGCTTCCTCGTTTACTCGTCCGCACTTTGATGATTGTCCTCCTTCTAACTTGGACACGGATGCATAACACCTCACTCTCCCGTTTAATGTAACCACCAGGTAATTATCCCAGGATGCCCTGAGATAGGCATTGTTCACGGCAGTGGTTCGAATGCGAATTTACTGACCTGAAGGTTCGTGGTTTGGACCCGACCTCTGCCTCTAGACTTTCCCTGTTTAGGTTTGGACATCCCGGCTGTATCCTAGCACTCTTGCTTCCTTCTGGGGCATGACAGTTAGGCACCGAGAGGGTGCTACAGCTGAATCATTTCTTTGTTCACGGCATAGTAATGCACTGTAGTATCACTTGGGTTTCAAGGTTATGGGTGCAGTAAATTGTCCCAACCATACGGTCTTCAACCCATGATAGTTTTATTCGCATTTTTGCACGTGAAGGAATTGTTATGGGTTATGGTTAGTGATGACTTTTGTTGGAAAACAATATGAAATTAAGCATCTCATGCGTTGGGCGATCGATTTTGCAGATTGAAGGAATCCATTTTGAAACAGTATTGGAACATTCGGAAAAGAGCGTTGCTCCCATTTATGTATGATCCCCCAAGCCTAAATGTCTCAGTGATCTGCGCACCCTTTTCTGCGACCAATGAACCAACTGAAGTTCGGCCAGTATGCTTCTTTAGAGAGAACTCACTAAACGAACACCGATATACAGTGAATATTTCCCAGTCATAGTTGCATCAAGTGATCTTTCATCCTCATTTCTGCTGGAAGTGGCAGTTGTGTTTGTGTGAAGAGCAGCAACAGCCCAAAAGTTCGGCTAACCTCGTTTACCTGCATGCGCTAGCCATCCAGTCCTACATGGACTTCGTCAACCTTGTATTGAAGCGCTTTTTTTTCATGGTGAAACAACACCGATGAGTCAACCTTGTAGCGCCGTGATGTCACTTGGCAGCTATAGACCAGACTGTCATTGATCCAGTACGATGTTGAGGTAAACATCTGCGCTAGGTAATTTGCGAGATAAAACTGGGCCATAAAATCTGGCGAAACTACTTGCACACATTTTCCCGAAAGTGCACGCCATCCGAAATGGATAACGCCATGCCCAGAACGAGCGAAGTCCTAGGCACATAGTATCTGCATTTTAGCTTATGAGTAATCAAGAAAAGACTACAAAATTTCGAATGAGTTGCGGCGCTTTATTTGCTAGTTCCAATTCTCTGAAAAGTCTGATGGGGCGTAATTGATTTTATCATGGTTAGCTTGGCCTGCCCGCAATACGACGAGTGGTACGAGTACCTTATTATTACTTTTTGGTACTTGGGTACTTTTTATTACTTTATTACAGTGATTTCACCAAAATTTTACAAAGAATGAGCATAGTTCCATGACGGCTGAATTACAAGGTGAAAAAGAAAAAAATGGCCATCTGTTTGTCCAGTTCAGTAATGTTTGATGCTTTCTAATAATTATCAGTAAAGAGGGCGCCGTTATTATGGACTATCTTGCAAAAATCAATCTACTGTTGAGCATAAAAGATTCAATGTGGAGTGTATACATGGCAAGAATGACCGTGATTAACAGATTTATTGCCGAATAACCGCAATCCTCACACGGGAAATGGCCGTTTTTATTCAATCAGTGAGCGACACGAGGCTGTTCTATCAGTTATTCCTAGTTGATTAAGTATTGAGACGAGCTCTGAATGACCTCCAAAACCTTGGTATTCGGATCCTTCCGAGCGAGAACCTTGTCGACCGTGACTGCGCAGACGCAATTGTCGTAATTTTTGAAAAAGAATGGGAAGCACATGCATTACAAGGAAAGTTGACCAGTCCTTCGGCATGTGCTTTGGACCCACAAAGTGCATGGTCATGTAACGTAACATCCGGTCTCTTTGCATGCTTCTAAGAATTCAAGAAGTAACACTGGAAGTTGTGAAACATAGTGATAATCTTGGAAGTTGTATCAGCTTTAACAGTGTAACTAGCTTGACCACTTCCGACGGAGGATATGAGACATCCTCAGATCTTTGATAACCAATGTTTCAACTTCAGCTGGAAAGGACTGGAATCAGCGAATTCAGAATAAGGTGATCAGGAAGCGGGTCTGTGGCGGGCGGAAGGTACTTCACCCAAAACATGCGTTCAGCACTGTCGGCCCAAGTTGGCTGCGTCATGTGTTGTGCATGCTGAGTCACCGTCTACAAAGAATAGCGTTACTTTCTTGCCTAATTCGGAGCGGCTGAAACTTGGAGAAACTTGGACAAGATATGACATGGCATAGGAGAATGACGGATGTTACAAAAAATTGGGTGGTACTGGTTCTACCCGCCTTCCAGACTGGGGCCCGAGTGACCCTCACTATGCTGCACTGGAGACGCCGGCGCTTAACCGATGTCAGTGGTGCTTATGCTGTCAATTTCTATCCAGATGGTCTGAGTCTTGGGTGTGTGAGCATCTCGGATGTTTGTGGCAGGCTAGCCGTAGGTTCCCATTCCCCCATTTTTTCTTTCCATTGAGATATTATGTGAGTAAGCTGACATGGTCGCACGGCATTGAGGTACCATTGTTCTCATACGGTGTTGCTGTCAGTGATAGTGATGATTTCCTTCAACCTTCAAAGTGAGCATGGGTTTTTGGCTTCTTTCCATTTACCCACAAGATCACGGTTTTTAGATTTAATACATGAGTCTCTTTCGTGTAAAACAGTCGTCAGTGAATCGGTTTTTAGTGTTCCAAACTCGCTGTCAGTTGTCACACCAGTATGGCATAGCCACACTGCGTAGTTTCTGTTCTTGGATTATCTTCTACCTGGACCATTGTTGACTGACGTCAAGTCGACTAAACTCCCTGTCGCCCACATTTCACACAGAGACAGGACTGTACTTGTCTTTTACTTGAGATAGGCATTCGGCTTTAAATGCCACATCTCAATGCCTTTCCCCATGGGAGTAGAATCTTCTAATCAGAAGGGCGGGGGTCATGGGGCTAGTTCATCTTCCCATTTTTGTTTGATACACATACAGGCCAAGTAGCTTTGGGTTGTATAGAGAGCTCATTATTGACGCCGAAGTGAATGAGTCTTGGGTGTTTGTTTATGTAATGGTTCTCTGGATCGTAAGTTTTTTCAAGCCACTTCCCGTGACAATCGTAGCTGAAGACACACTTTCCTAGGCTATGAACTCGAATTTTGCGTTTTTTGAACAACGCGTCCTTTAAAACTCGATATTTTTACCTGAAACGTGACAATGTGTATACCGTTGCCCTTCCAAAAGCATCCGACCGGCCGCACAGGAAGTTTCTTATGCACATATGGAGACTGTGCTTCACCGGCTATAGGTTACAGCTGACGACAAACTGCCACTGGCCAGGTATCTGTGACATGCAAGTTTCGTCTCTTCAGCTGGGAGTCAGCCTTTCTTGCTGATGTGTATTTGCAGAACAAACTGACCTTTCCTTTGTGACCCCAATTTCTGGCAAATACGTTTGATCTTCTGTCCGGTTGCTCTCAAGTTCTGGCTGCTTTATTGACCGACCTTCTCCCAGCTATGTAGGAAACAATGTTTCCAGTAGCGTAACCGAACAACGACTGATAAGATGGGTTGGTGTCCACATAAAATGCTTTCGAGAGCCCGATATATTCCTATATAAACGGTAAATAATCTCAGTGGTTAAGGCGCGAACTTACTGACCGGAAGATCCATGATTCGAACCTAGCTCAGGTATCTCGACTAATTCTGTCTAGACTTGGCTCCTAGGCGATGTATCAGCCGTTGTTCTTCATCACTGGTGGTTCATTTGTTCGACGTGCTTACGAAACAGACCGATAAGTAAATTCTATGAGGGTCAGAACAGCACTATCGATTGCTCAAAGCGACAGACTAGTGCTGAGTGTGTATTACGTCGTTTTATCTCGTGTGCATAGTCCAACTGAGGGCAGCTCAAACTGCTTGACAGGTGACTGTGAATAACAATCTCACAAATATTCGATACTTGTGTCCGTCTTCCTGACAATCATCGTTCCCCTCTGATCATATTTCAGCACTCGTGCTTTTTTCCAGGTGGCGTGTGTGAATCATTCAGTTGCTGACGTGAATTACAATAGCGCAGTGAAATTACAGTCTTCAGTAATGATCCTGCGGAAGTTCAGCCACTGAAGTTAGATCGGGCTCAGAAAACAATTATCTAGCATTCAGTTAGTTGAATGAATGGTACACACACATTAGACGTTCCATCTCTCTGCATTTGCCGATCGGAATATAGTATCGACGGTAAATCCTGCTTACTTGTATGTAGTCGTGCGTCCCCAGCACCCCACTACCCTGATTCTGTGAATATTCCATATCAGATCTAACTCGTTTCTTAGGAAAGCAGTCAATTTGCACGTCACAACATTCCCTGTAATTTTTT